TCCTAGATTGGGCACACACAATTTTTTCCTGTCATGCTCTTTGACTATGGAGGACTTGGGAAGGTGTTAAAAATCCTCCTGATTTTTGCACGCAGCACTGGCACAGCAGCAGAACCTCCCTCCTGCTGAGTGTATAATTTGGGGCCAAGCAGATGATGCTTTCTGGACTGCTGTGGTCTCACCTGTTACCAGCCTTTGACCACTGGTCCTGATGAACACTGGGGTTCAAGCCCTCTTTGGTATTTCACTTCCAGCTCTTCCTGTGGATTTAGGGATTGCTCTCCCCTGGTAACAGCCCAGCTGAAGTGGCATGGACCTTCCTCTAGAGACCCTGAGCCCCAGGATGGGCACAACACACTGCTAGGACCGTGTGGGATGGCAAAGGTTTTAGCCTTCTGACCTACACGAGGTGTCTCCCCTGTGGTACTGCCCATGTTGATGCTTACAGCCACTTGACTGAAGCTTGTTTTGGAGAGGAGCATTTTCCCTCTCACCTGTGGAATGGTTTGTGCTGCTCTCCCTCTTCTGGACAGGCTTGTGGCCTCGCTCCATTCATTTGAGAGCAAGGACCAGCAAGGATTTGAGTCTGTGGTCTCTCGTGACTTGCACAAATGTGACCTCTTGAGTGCTTCTCGGACCTCTTTTGATCCAGGCTGCTGTAGTTTTGGGTTTTCCATAAAAATCTGGTTTTGTGGGTGGTGTGAAGATGCTTGTCCTGATCACAGTGGATGCACGAAACTTCAGGTTTGATTTTAGGAATGAGCTTGTTTCCAAAGGCAAGATAACTTACTCAGATGTGGCCTTCATCACTCCAAAGTAAGTGTTTGAACAGGTTCTGCCAGGAGCAGGTTGAACCTTACCCAGGCATCTCATCCATTTAGAGTGGATGTCAGGAAAAGGTTTTTTTCCCGTCACTTTTCTTTTTCTGTCCGAGAGCCAAATCCTTCAGGAAGTCCCTGTGTGTTCAGGAATGTGGGGATAGAGCTGAGGCCTCGCTCTGTGGTGCAGAGCATGGTTCACTGTGACAGCTGGTGTGACCCCAGTGCTGTGCTGGGGCAGATGTGCAGCCAGCTGTGGGGCTGGAGCCTTTGCAGACAAGGCTGCAGCAGCTCCTGTGGCCCACGCTGAGCTCTCAGGGGGCTGTGTGTGTGTGTGTGCAGGGCTCTCGTGTTCTGCAGAGGAGCATTCCAGCTTGGTTCCTCGTGCTGGAGACGTGTCGAGGCTGTCCAGCTGCATTTTGCAGTGCTGTGTGACTTGAGAGTTTGGGGTGCTGCTGTTCTGTTTGTATTTTGGATAAACCACACGAACAGGGCTTCTTGTGGTGATACCCAGTGTGTGCCTTGTGTTCTCCTGCCTTGCACACAGCTTTTAATCTAAAAGCTCTTGAGCTGGAGCTATCAGACTGCTGTCACCAGTTCTGTTTCCTTCTGCTCCTGGGAACTCAGGAATGGAGACTTCAAGACCTTTTACTGTCCCCTACAACCACTCCAGGCTTCAAAAGCCATTTCTTTTGTCCCAGTGTAGTTTCATCTCATGTTGCCTGTGAGTATCCTGGCATGATGAGGGAGGGAGCTGTTTGATACTGCTGTTCTTATTTTGGGATATAGAGCTGAGAGCTCCTCTCTCCCATTAAGTAAAAGAGCATCTTTGGAGCTGAGTGTTTTGCTGAGCGGTGCTCAGGGCCATGGGGACCCCTTTAGGCTGCTGTAATTCAGCTTAAAGAGATGATTGTGGACACAGCCACAGGCCACCAAAATGCTCTGCAGAGCCTGTGGTGTCTCCCTGAGTAATAACATAAGCTCAGGGATCTGGAGTTCCTTGTGTTAGACCACCTCAGGTTATGTATAAAAAGCTCGCTGTGGTGTGGTTCTCCCTCATTTTTTGCTGGAGGGAGGACTGTGATATCAGCCTTCCTAAAGTCACTCCCTAAGGCTTCTCTGATCCTCATCCTGCAGTTCCTGCAGAGGTCCAGGTTCTCCGGTGGCTTCACTCGTAGAGATGAGGACTCATGAGTTAGAAATGGTGAGAAAATCCACATTGAGCTTTGTGACTGTCTCCTCCTTTGGTTTTCCTAATTGTAAATTAAGTGGGGATAATCTGTCTTCGTGTTGCAGGCAGTGTTGCAGAACAATAAGCAAAAGCCTCGATCTCTTCCAGTCTGGGCAGTCACTGGGCAGTGATCAGGTCTGTTTTCAGTTACTTGTCCTACATTTCCTGGTTTCTTGTGTATCTGTATCAATATGTGTATGTGCACTTTAGGAACCACGGAGCAGGAGTTGAGCTGGACACCGGGAGGAGTAGAGGAGGTGCGTAAGAAAAAACCAGATCCTAGATCCTGGAGATCAGAATAACCTGGTGGGAGAAAGGTTAAGGGCTAAAAACTCTCCGGGTTTCCTGAAATCTGAGCAATTATTTAGGTCTTACCAGAGTCTCTGTAGAAGAGAAGGCTGTGGGGCTTATGTGAAATGAGGCTGACCTGTGGTATTGGGAGGGAACATCAGAAAAACTATTAGGGACTGCCTGTTGGAGACAGTGGGAAGAATCTCCAAGAAGAAAGAGTTAGCAGGAATCTCGATTCTCCAGCAGACAAGACCAAGGAGCCACCAGCTGCTTGGCCACAGGCCCTTTGGTGCTTTGGAAAGCCCCAAATTTGAGATTATCTCCCTCAAATTTTTGGTTATCTCCTGGCAGAAGCAGAGGTAACACACCCAGGTGAGCATCTGGGCAGTATCCCCAAAAGTACTCTTGACCTGCAGGAGTAATGAGCAGTGACACTATTGCTCACTTAATTTTGTCCCCCTTTCTGCTTTGCTCCACTAGTCTTCATTGACTTGCTGCTAAATTATTTTCATAGTAAAATAAGCCAGTTTGCAGCCTGACTGAAATAATTAATTACTACTGGGCTACAACCCAGTGTGAGATCCTCCATAGCCCCATCGGTGTTGGGAGCACAGGCTGAAAATAGAGTGTGAAAATAGAGTGGCTGTGGGTGTTGAGCGATCCCAGAGGGCTTGGCCAGGAGTAGGGGTGTTTAGGAGACAGTTTGTGTCGCTTAAAGGCTGCTCATAAATTCAGCTAGAGGCTCTAAATCTGTGTTTAACTCTGGTGGATAAGCCAGGGCAGACGCAAGAACTGGGATTTGGGAAATATATTTTTAAGAAGATCTGACTTGGGGTGGATTTTAGAAAGAGTCTGTGAGTGAAACAAGAGTTTGCTCTTATCGCTTGGGCAGTTTGAGATATCACTTGGTGAGATTTGAGCTGAAAGGAGAGAAATTGGAGTGAGGAAACTGAATTTTAGCAAGCAAATGTAGCTGTACCTACAGCCTGAGGGAACCACTTTACACCTAGTGGGTGCTGACAGGTTTCAAGGCCAGGTTTTGGTTCCAGGTTGCTGTAGCCAGTTGTTTTCCCCCCAGCTCACAGACAGAAGCTTAAAATGTGCTGGTGTCCATCCAAAGAGGATCTGTCTGTTTATCCTGAGGTAGCAAAGGCAAAAGTGGGAAGGGTTCTACCTCAAACCACTGTAAACCACTGGTGCCTGTTGCTGCCTGTGTGTTTATATGGGTTGTTTTTTATTTTGTGTTAATTTTGTGTGTTTTTGTTTAAAACAGCAGGGTAATAACTGACTTGCTGCTTAGCAGTTTTGCTTCTGCTCCCAGGGCTCTGAATCTCAGGAGGAAACTGGTTAGAAATGTATCCCTTTCCTGCTGATGCTGTTAAACCAGCATATGAGGAGCATTAGGTAGGTTCCAGCTTTCTGGAGTCGTAAAAGTTCCTTTTTGGGGAATAAAACTAGTGTTTTTCGTAATGATGTGTCTGTTACAGTCCTCCTCCAGAAAGCAACAGTACCAGCTCTTCCCAAATTATTCCCTCTCTTGAATTCCAGAGGCAGCTTTGCCATTCAGGTTAGAACCCCAACAATCTAATACATTTAATTTTAAAAAATTAATGTTTTCTAGCACTTTACCAATCCAAAAACCATCAAGTTCCAGCAAACCTGGGGCCTTTCAAAAGTATTAGAGCAGTATTAGAATTAAACCCACATCGAGACCTGCGTATTAAACTTTAGTTTTTTTACCCCCAAATAGTTGTATGTTGCTCTGGATTAGGGGGAAAAGGTGGATGGAACTTGTGGAGCAGCTCAGCCGTTGGTGTGGGATGTCAAAGGGATCACCAAAGGCAGATGAGCCCTTTGCATCTGTGTGGGAGGTTTGGCCCCAGCACTGTTTGAGAGGCTGCTCAGACCAAGCCACCTCAGTGCTGTTTCTTACTTAATGCTTGATATGGAAGTCTGGGAATTGGGAGCATTATTGATTTGACCTCTTTTAAATTTCAGCAGCTTCACAAGAGACAGAGTGAGTTAGTAAGGAATGCAAAAATGTGTAAGTAATATATATTTTTCTAGCTGAAAAGCTTAGGCATATCCATTTTGTACCTTGTGTCTTCTTACCAGAGTAAGGAAGGTTGGACTGTCTTTGCTTTGGGGGAAATCTTTCTCTTTCCTTTCTCTCTCCTCCCTGCTTCCCCCTCTCCAAGCTCTGGGCACAACACCAGCTCTGCTTTCTCCTCCTTGTAGTAGGTGTGCATTTTCCTGGCTGGTTGGTGTCTCTGACTGGGGGGGCTCTTGGTATTTTGATTTATTTTATTTTTTTTCCCTGCGCCCATAGCACATCTGGGGATTTTATTTTTTTTTTTTTTTATAAGTGGGAAAGAGAATAAATCAGCCAAGTTAAACCCAAGGAACCTGTAGCTGCTACACAACTTGTCCTCTGTTGTGGTAACGTTAATGCCAAGCGGGAACGTCGGGTACATAACGATGCTTCCTGGTGGGTGTAGATTAATTTGGGAGCGTTGCTCGTGAGCGTGGGGCAAATATGACCAGTAGAAATAACCCCCAAGCCCCTAAACTCTACCTGGCAGCCCTGTGACTGTCTGCAGGTGCCTGTGTGGTCGTCCAGCCCAGCACCCCGTGGCTTAACCTGCTTTTCTCTGTCTCAGACCCTCCGCAGGTGCTACAGCCGCGTGAAGGAGCACGGCGTGGGGAAGAGGAAAAGCAGCTACACGTTCGAGCAGCTGGAGCAGGTGTTTGGGCAGGGAGGATGGGACTCCCAGCCCTGCCAGCCCGTCCTCATCAACAGCAGCGGCTTGTACCAGGAGCTGGAGTCGGATGGCAGCACGATGGAGGAGTATTCCCAGGAGGACTGGGGAAACCACAGTCAGGACCTTCACTGCTACCAGACCGGCGAGCAGGAATTGGGTAAGAAATCCCAGCCAGGCACATCTCCAGCCTTGGATTTTACCTGTGCTCGGGCCTGTCTCACACAAATGTGTCTCAGTACCAGCTTTCATCTCTTGTGTGTGATGTCCTCAGGGTGCCAAGCACATCCCTGGGGAGAAAAGGGGCAGAAATCCCCCGGTCAGTCAAAAGCAACACGTGGTTCTTGAAGCATTTTAGGGTCAGGACTGGAGTTCAAAGAGCCTGGCAGGAGGAAAGAAGGGCTGTGTGGCCAGAAATGATGGAGGAGGTGACACCTTCCCTGTCTCTCCTTCTGCTCTCAGTTTTACTTCCCTTCAAGGGAAGTAAAATTCCCTTTCAGTGGTACCTGAGTGTTATCATTCAAACACCATCTGCTTAAATTGTGAATAGGGCTTCAACCTGCTGCTGGTGACACCAACAACTATAAAAAAGTGTTGTTCCTTCCTCTATACCCTGATATATTGAAATTAAACATGTTTATATCCAGGCATGTGGCCTTTTTTAAATACAAAAATAGCAAGCAAGCTCACACTTGAGGATTGAGACCTAAACCAAACTCTTCCACATGCTTTTCTTGCCTGAATTATTGCTGTCTCTGAATAAGAATCAGTCTATTAATTAATTTGGAGGTTTAGTTTTTGCTTGTGGGTTACTGAACTTTGTTAAACAGAGCGAGGTGCCACATTCCCAATGGAAAATGCACACCAGTCTGAGCAGTTCTGGGAAGAAGTGGCTTTCTTTAGGCTTATTTTTCCCTCTTGAGCCACTGCTCTTATGTGTGTGTGTTCCTCCCTTGCCTGAGCACAGGAAACTTTAAGTTGATCAAATTCAATGGAGTTGCAAGTGAAGAAGGTGAATTAGATAAAGGCTTTTTTCCCCCCCATTTGTAGGATGAAAGAGGGAGAGGAGATGCTGTCGGGTTCACATCTGTGTTTAAGGGACTGGTGAGTCAGGATGCTTTGAAAGAGCCTTAAATCACAGTTTAACATTAAAATTTTCAAGTTGGCTGTCGAGTGCATTCCGGTGCCTCAGACTTCTTCCCTGGGGGATTTAAAAATCAGAAATATGTGGGAGAGAGACGGTGGGGAGAAGAAAACGTTACAAAACGTATGTAAATGACGGCTAATCCTGTCTGGTTTGGCTTGTTTTGGTGAGTCAAAGCGGGATCTCCTGGTTTGTCACCGCTCTCGGGGCCGTGTGCGTGCGCCGGGGCTGACGATGGCCTTCGTGCTCAGAAGCTGTGAGCAAAGCACTTGGCACGCAGCATCTGAATGCAACACAGATGCAGTTCTGCTGCTGCCTGCCTTCAGCTGTGCCATTGGAAGCAGAATTGCCTTTTTTCTCTCTTTTTCCTATTTTTTTCCCTATTTTTTTTTCCTATTTCTTTAAACAATGCAGTTTGCGATTCAGTCGATTTGTGATTTAACAGCAGGGGTTGGAGCCTTGTCCTTGAAAGGTTTTGCACTTGCAGGGAGAGATTCAGATCTTAACTGACAGCATCCCTTCCAAGTTAAAGAAAAACCAAATCAATTACAGAGGGCTTAGGAACTGGAACTGTCTCGTGCAGAACTCCAGCAGACCGCCTGGCTTAGGAAGCAACTCTGATTTGTTTTTTATTTAATTTCAGCCTCTGGAAAAAAAAAAAAAAAGCCCTAAGTGCATTATTTAAAATATAATTATGTGTTGGAATTTTACCTTTCAGATGAAATGCCTACCACAAAAAGAACACTAAAGATAAAACAGGAGTCTTCAGAAGACGCGCAGTAAGTAGTTTATGAATGTTTTACCCTGGAATGTGTTTCCCTGGGGACGTTGTGCAGGAGGGGAGGATATTTGAAACTTCTGATTATAATTATAAATACATTGTGCAAGACTATTCATACAGTTGAATCTGCTTTATGCATTATTCCCGTTACCTCAGAACAGCTGAAGAGCTTCGCAGCTCTGTTTCTCCTTGGCTTTGCCGTTCAGCACACGAAACGAGGCTTACTGCATGGATGCAAGGACTTAAACCACGGATAAAATCCACAAGAAAAGCTCCCTTCCTTGGTGGGAAGGCATGCCAAAGCTTGGGAGCCTTTTATTTTCATTTTTATAACTTTCCAGACCTTATTTGTAACCTTTTGGCTGGGTTTAGTGTAACGAACACTGGAGCGTTCTGGGCGCTTTGAGCACGCGGATCTCCCTCGCCAACAATAACACGGAGCATTCCCAAAAATGAAAGGAATTGTGCTGGATTTACTCCATCCAGTGCTGCTTTCTGCCAACCTTTAGGGTTGTAAAACCCCACGGGGAGGTTGTGGATCCATCTGTGGGGGTAGTGAGCCACAGCAGCCGGGCTCACAGACCCTTCAGGGCGTGTTCCACACGTGAGCTCCCCCACCAAGATGACTTGTAGTCATCTGGAGTCAGTCGGGGGTTTTCCATGGTGGAAAACGAGCTCCTGTAGCGTAGGAGGTCACCAGCACTGGGAACAGCAGCTGAGCGTCCCTGGTGAGTCACACAACACAGGCTTTGTGCTGTAACTCAACGGGAAAAAAAGTCCTCCAAAACCTGCAAAAAAACCCCAACGTTAAAATACGAATAAAAATAAAACAATTTTAAAAGAAAATAATAAAAATAATTAACAAGAAGCTTTCATTGTAGTGCCGTAGCTTCATCAAACTTCTCTCTTCAGGTGGATTTTCACGTGCCCAAAGGTGACTTTTTTCTTCACGTGGAGCAAATTCAGTTTAGCAACTCCAGGACAACCTGGAGAAGAATAACGTTTTTCAGCATAAATGTTGTTATTGAACAGTTTCTTGGTGCTGTTCTGGAATAATTTTGCCTTTAGGGAGCTGCATAGCAAAATAATCCTGAATTTTCTGAGATGAAGGCTTGGACTACCTGAAACTTCTCTTTGAAGTTTTGTACATGGACAACTGGATTAGATTCTGGTAAATTAGACCTTTCAGAGTTTTATGGTCATTTTTCCCCCCAAATTCCCCCTAAAATGCACTGGAGTCTCTGAACTCTGGGACATTTTGTGGACTGTGACAGTCCTACGTGCTCAGTGGAAGCTCAAAGCATCTTCCAACCCACAGATTTGCTGAAAGCTGATTTTCCTCTTGTCTGTGAGGGGAAGGAACTTCTAGACTCTGAGTTCGTAGGTTAAAAGCAGTCAGGAGTAGTGGGGCTGATACAAAGATAAGATACTTATTTGTTATCTTCAAAAAATAGATTTGCATCTAAAAGCCACAGAAGATAAATAGTTGCCTAACTTTTTACCTCTTTGTGTACATTTTAAAATGTAGATAACTTAGTTCAAAGTCAGGGCACTTTGGTTCATCTGCAGTCTTGGTCAAGTGCAGATTTTCAGCAGAAATAACCTCCATATAATTGTTCAAATTATCTGATGAACCTTGTGCTGTGCTTTTGGACATGGGGAATCAGAATCCCAGAATGATTTGGGTTGGAAGGGACCTTTAAGTTCATCCAATTCCACCCCCCAGCCATGGGCAGGGACACCTTCCACTATCCCAGGTTGCTCCAAGCCCTGTCCAACCTGGCCTGGGACACTCCCAGGGATGGGGCAGCCACAGCTTTTCTGGGCAACCTGTGCCAGGGCCTCACCACCCTCCCAGGGAGAATTTCTTCCCAATGTCACATTTACCCCTGCCCTCTGGCAATGGGAGGCCATTCCCTGTGTCCTGTCCCTCCAGGCCTTGTCCCCAGTCCCTCTCCAGCTCTCCTGGAGCCCCTTCAGGCACTAGAAGGGGCTCTCAGGTCTCCCAGCAACCTTCTCTGGGTGAACACTCCCAGCCTGGAGAAGAGAAGACTCTGGGGAGACCTTGGAGCCCCTTCCAGTGCCTGAAGGGGCTCCAAGAGAGCTGGAGAGGGACTTGGGACAAGGGATGGAGGGACATGACAAGGGGAAATGGGTGGGGTTGGATGGGATATTGTTCCCTGAGAGGGTGGAGAGGCCCTGGCACAGGTTGCCCAGAGAAGCTGTGGCTGCCCCTGGATCCCTGGAAGTGTCCAAGGCCAGGTTGGACGGGGCTTGGAGCAACCTGGGCTAGTGGAAGGTGTCCCTGCCCATGACAGGGATTTGGAATGAGATGAGCTTTAAGGTCCTTTCCAGCCCAAACTGTTCTATGAGTCTGTGACATACGAGGACTTCCCATCTTTCCAGTGTCACCTTATTTTTGGCGGTGTAGGAAGCAAAGGGGGCAATAGGTAACCCATGTCCACATCCCATACTCCATCAAGATGCTCCTTCCCTGCAGTAGCTCTGCTGTTGCCTCCCCTTGGCACGCTGCTGCCTCCAGATAAACTGTTTTGAAAAGTGAAATGCTGCTTCAAGACTGTTCCACTGTTTTGAGTTGATTTGAGGAGCAGTTTGATTCACTGCGGGCGTTGGGAGAATGAAAAGCTCGTGGAACTCCACTGAAAGCAGCTGTTCTGACCCCTTTGAAGTCTGCTTGGTTTGGGAACAGCGCCTTGGAACAAACTTGCCCCGGCTCTTGTCTCCAGTCTTTTCCTCATTTGAATTGCAGAAGCTTCCAAGGAGGAAGAAACACAGATCCCAGACTCCAGCAGGGAGGTGGTGGTTTGAGGACAGGGGAAAATCCAGCTCTAGGGCACCTTCTGCAGCTGACAAGTGAGATTGCCCTGAGATACACGACAGGGCAAACACTCTGCTCTCCTCCCGTTTTTATCATGAAAAGTGAATAATATTAGCGATATAAATAAAACAAATACATAAATGCGTATTAAATAAATAATTTAAAATAGTTCAACAATTGACAATTAAAATTTAATAAATAAATAAATAAATAAATAAATAAGTCTTACTGCTTATGATACCTCTGCTTGACGTGGAGGTCCCGGATAGAGCCTGGAACGTGAAGCTCAGCTGAGCCGTCGGGTCCCAGCATAAGGGAGGAGATGTTATAACTGAAAGGCAAAACTCCTTAAAATTCCTCTTTCCCTGGTTTCCTCTATGCTGGAAGCGGTGAGTTCCCTGTGGAAAGCCTTTCTCTGCTGCCTGAGATCCCCTCTCATGGAAAGGCTCCTGTTCCCCACAGGAGCAGTCGGAGTGACTAATGCACCGGAGCTCCAGCTCTGGATTGTGCCGAGCTAAACTGAATATTTATAGTGCAATTAATAAAGGTGGGGGCTTTGCTTTCGGTTCCTCGCTCTGTTCCTCCGCTGTTGAATGAAAACCTGCCCACGCCGCGCTCTCCTGGCTCTGCCTGGGATGGGAATCCATGTGCAGCTGGAGCTCAGCTGCCATCGGGAGTCGAGCGCGCGCGTGCCGGCGGTGAGACACCGCGCTGGGCTCCGGCACTGCCCTGTCCCCTTGTCTGTCCCGTCCCCTTGTGCCCAGAAGGTGAACTTGCACCTCCAAAGGACATTTTTCAAGGGTGGCAGAGCAGCAGGGAAGCCTCGACTCAGTGTTGCCGCAGTGTCTGTGTGTAAATGGAAGTGGATTTGGGGTGAACATGTGTTCTCCTTGCCCGGGATTTCTCTCCGTTGCTGCCAGGCAGTGGAACTGATTCCTCAGGAATAACTTGCAGTAAGAAACAGGATTTTGGTGGCAATGGAACAGGCATTTTTGAGAACCTCTGGCCCAAACACAGCTCTGCTTGCCCAGCCTGTCCCTCCTCTGTTCTCTAGAAACTCATTTATGCGCCAGCCGTGGCAGAGATGTGCTTCCCAAAATGCCTTTTAAGGTCTATCCAGGAATCTTCTGGCGTGGTTGGTGCTGCAAATTCTTGAGGAACTCCCAGGGCAGAGAGAAGTTTCTGCCCCACAGAAGAAAAGCAGTGTTGCCTGGTACAGTTTGTATTCCTGGTGGGGTTTGGGAGGAGCAAACGTCCTCTTGGGAATGTGGTGACCCCCCAGTTCTGGTTTCCAGACGTGGCACAATGGATAAAAGGAAGGAGACTTGCATGGACGTTCTGTTTGTTGGACCAAGAGAGGCTTCTCTGATAGCAAACAAGTTGCATTATTTTCCTACACCTTTGGCCATAGGACAATAACTCCTCAGATTAGGAGTTCTCCCTGCCAGCTAATTACACCCTGGTGGTCTCATTCATCCCAGAGGAAGCTGCTCCAGCTCACCACAGGTGCACGTGGATGCTCTCTGCCAATGTCAGCCACTCCATGGAACCACACTACTGGGAGTGCAAATAGCTCTTCGGGAGCATGGGGATTTTTTAATTGCTTATCCAGAGGAATTCCCACTGTTGATCCCACAGGATCGAGAATGTGTCTGGGTGTATCTTCTACTCCAGGGTGTTGGTCACTTGAGCCATGTTTCCATCCCAGCACTGGGACCGAGCCCTTTGGAGCAGCTTGATGCTTCCATGGGGTTTTTTACAATTAATAGTCCTGTTTGCTGGCATTACTTTTGGGATAACAATGAGGTGGAAGCCTTTGGAGTGGCAGTTGTAAATTGGGGATGCAGCACATGGACCACATGGCAATGGAAAGAATGACCCAGTAATTAGGTGTGGTTTTATTCAGCAATGCCAGACACGTGTTTCCTTGGAGCTGCCTTGATGTTGGGAGGAGTTTGGGTTGGGCTTGTTTTGATTTTGCCAAGATTAATTAAAAAAATTCCCAAAACCCATCAGGGGGTTATTTTAGTCCATAAACTCCCCCAGCAATATTTATAGTAATCATAAAAATCAGCTGAGAAGGCCGATTGAGATTAATGTTTTCCAAAGATCGGTGTTTTTGCCGGGATGGTTTTCCAGCTCTGACGCCTTTATCCTTC